GGAGGGATTTGAAGCACAAAGGGAGGAGCTTGTCTTTGGTTGGCTGATATGGATGTCCCCCTGAGTGAGGTTGACCAGCTGACAGGAAACACCTGTGAAAAACTGAAACAACTGCAGGTGTGGGGTTGTTTTGATATGACATATATTTGTAAACAAGAGAACATTGTCCTAAACTGGACTAACAAAGGACCATGAGTCCAACATGAAACTTTAGCCTACATAAGCTAAGGCTGAAGTTCATTGATAATTTTAATCATAAACTTGTTGTGAAATATTTTTACTGAACATGCAAACATCTGCTGATGAAAATGTGTTGATTTATTGGTCTGTTATGAAGCTATTGCTATTTCTAATGTGTTTTATCACTTTCTGATGTTTTATTAATTAAACAATACATGTATTGATTGTTGTGTTATTCTAGTGTAGTTTTCCTTTTGGCTCTCGGAGGAGGCGGACGCACTTTTTCTCCTCTCCTCTCCCTTATCTTCCCTGCTTAGTTCTTATGTCCTTGTCTAGTCTCGTGTTTTTTTGTATTACTTTCCCTGGAACAGTCTCTCACAGTCTGTTTCTAAAACCTAAAGAGAATTATGGATTTGATCAACTGGTCTCTGAATGCTATTGACACCCTTTTCTCAACGAGAAGTCTGGGCTCGGGAGAGCCCGAGTGCCCTGGAGGGACTTTCCCTGCCGGATACACGATGGACGGGTGGCAGGAATGGAGGGTCGTGTGCCTGGCGGGACTGTCGATCGAGGACGCTGAAGATATCTACCTATTCGGAACCATGATAACAGGGTTCTTGCTGATCGGAGCTGGCTTGGCCCTGGCTTATCGGAGAATTAAGAAAGCGGAACCGGCTGTTCAAACCCCCCCAAGGCTGCCCGCTGGGATTGAAACGATGGGACGAGGCAGCGACTTCTCAGAATGGGCTCATTGAGAGCAGCATGGTTAAAGACCTTGGAGGTGCTTACAGCTGCCGTGAATACTCAGAATAACACCTCTAGCAGTATATTGGGTTACATCAAGGAGAGGCCTGCTCAGAATAACACCTTTGAGCAAAAGTTGGATTACATCGTGGAACAGCTGACTGCAGTCGTGAGTTCTCAGAATCGCTCTCTGAGCAAAAGAATGACAACACCAGCAAGTTTGATACCATCATGGGGAAGCTCGCGGTTCTCCAACGGGAGATTGAGAGACCAGTGTCGGAGTGTTAAAGAACAGCTTTGAAATTCTCATGAGTTGTTGCAAAAGAAAAATTACCATCATAATCCGGCTACCCCTTCGGCGCCAGCTGTGGGCTCAAGGCTGGAGCTGAACAAAAACTCCCTGATAACGACTGTGTTTAGTCTGTTCCTTCCCATTCCATGCAAGGCCACCTGGGTTGGCTGGAAGACTGTATAGCCTGGCAGGGCGAAGGACACTGTCTCAGCTGAACTATGGACACGCACACACATACATATACTGATACTGATAAGCACTCACTGACGCATCACCCTCCCTACCCCGGATCCCAACGCCACCTCCAACGCTTACCTCCCCTCTGATGTGGACATCGGGTCAGTTGGAGGCGCAGTCGAAGATTGCAGCGGTCCCAGATCAGATGTACACACTGGAACTCTTTCCCATGTTGCTGTCTGTGTTTATTGTGCTATGGTGTGTTGATATCTGTGCATTCCTGTATTATCCTTTTGTGTTACACATTTCAATGTTTTTTTTCCTCGCTACCTAGCCTGACCTGTCTCCCCAATGTGATGTTTGTGTATTGTATGTACGGTCAGCAAGGTCTGTCATCTTGGTTGTGGGCAAAAGACCTGCAACTGACAAATAAAGGCTATCTCATCTCATTAATATGTATTTATTTATAGTGTAGTAGAAATATTTAATTATTACTGTTTAAATGACTAATGTGTGACATGTATTAGTAGTGATGTTGTGCTGAGGGTTAAAATGCCCTTTTTTTGGTATACGACAAAATGGCAATAAACCATTAATATATGTCTATGTGCCTGTATTTATTTTACCCTACTCAAATTAAATTTATGATACATTTTATTTTGAAAGATTTATAGTGGTTCTTTAAAGAACCACTCAAAATTGGTTCTTTAAAATGGTTCTTTAAATACCTTTTTAACAATGGTTCTTCAAATAACCATTGTAAAAAAAAAGAGGTTCTTTGAAAAACCATTTAAGGTGCCCCAAAGAACCATTTCTTAAAGGTCCTTTAATGAACCACTGACAGAAATAGTTCTTCAAAGAACCATTGTTTTTAAGGTTCTTTGTGGCACTAAAAAGGTTCTTCTATGGCAGTTTTGGTTCCAGTTGGCACCTTTATTTTTCTGAGTGTAAGAGAGATGAAGTTGCAATTAAGCTGATGTTTAGATTCATTCACTGAATTCCAACTTTATACCGTCTAATACAAAGACAGCATAAACAGTATACTGTCAGTGTAGGGGACATCAGACATGATAGTTTCAGGCTGTGTGCATCTTGTTGAATTCAGTTGTATAAATCCACAAAGAGGAGCAGGTCAGCTGATCACATCATACACACAAAGAAAATCTACTGAAGCTCACTTGTGCTTGTGTGGGAAAAAATATTGTGAGTTGTATTTTTTTTCCCATTGCTGAGCCACTACACAGATATTTGTGTTCCCCCAGCTGCCGAATCCAACTGTAACCCTTGACTGTTCTCATTTTAGTGTGTAGGTTTGGAGGCAAAGTCATCCTCTCCCAAACAACACCTCACCAAGAGGTAGGTGTTATTTATTTAAATTCTATAGCAATGCTTGTGTCCTACATAACAGAATAAAGAGTACATTCATTAGAATTCAGATTTAGACTGGAACAGCATTTTATTGTCATGTAATAATATTTTTTATTATTCTATTAATATAATACAAGCTTTAATTACCTTTGTACAAAAATCCTAGTAGAATGTCCTTCAACAGGCTATTTTTTACTTCATTACTCTGAGTATACCATCTGAGTATACTGCAGTGCTACTTTTTCACTTTTGCTTGAATAAAAAAGTTGCTTCAGCAATTAAACTTTTACCTGTATATATTTTGTTTATATACAGGTATCTGTACTTCTACTTATGTAAAGAATGTCTGTACTTTTGCCACTTATGACTACTTGTTACAAACGGTGAACAACACAATGATAATCAGGTTACTGAAGTCCCAAACAAAAAAATTATAAATCATTTCTGTGTTTATTGAACTGGATCAAACATATTTAGCCCATACTGCTAAAGATTTTTACCTACATGAAGAATGCATCACATTTGACCAACCCTCTACCTGAAAAATTGAGTTTAATCATAAAGACAAAGTGAATAATAAGAACTATGTAATAGTCCTCCTTCGACCAGCAGCTCTTTTGTTCCTGCCAGGAGTAGCAACATCATTCAATTTCAATAATCACTTCTTTTTCTGCAATTTGTTCTTCTTCCCCCCCTCTTTTTTTTTCTCTTTTTTGTCTCCCACTCCCCACTAGAGGACTCCATGTCAGTAGAGGAAACCTCAACCCTAGAGGACTGAGAGGATCCCTCTCCAGAATACGGATTACAAGCAGTCTTTAGGTTCTCATACAATTCCTTCTTTTTTCCTCTCAGTGTTTTCTGTACTTCTTCAATCTTGTCTTCATCTGCCAACCGATGAAGAAGAGGTCCACAGTAGAGATGGCACGATACCACTTTTTTATGTCCGATACCGATACCGATATCATAAATTTGGATATCTGCCGATACCGATATGAATCCGATATA